CGGCGCTGACTGCTTACCGTCAGGTGATTCGTCTGGTCGTTAGCCTCCTATTCCATAAAGAAAAACATGATAAGTGTAACAAGACAAATGTTGGAACTTCATGCTCACTTAACTAGTCACAACATAAAGTAAATGATAATTCAGTAATGAGTATAATGTACATTAGAGGTTTGGCCACCGCGACCGTGCACTGTGCAGTTTGCAACACTACGGAAGCCGAGCATCGAACCGTAGCCACGTGCGTTCTGCGGAGGTCGTGTTTTGGTAAACAATATGTATGTACAGCAACTGTAGCCAAATGCCATTTAGCGCTTGTCTACATGTAGAATAGAAAACCAAATTATATGGAATTGACGTAAATTTTGACACTTGTCAGTGGCATCCCCATATATTTTGATTTCTACTATTTCTGTAGACAAGCGCTAAAGTGGCGTTTCACTAAGTTGCGTTTAGCTAAGGGCTCAGGGCCCTTAGCCAAACGCAACTAAATGGCATTTGGCTAGAGCTGCAGGTTCGACTAGATCGACATCTACTACAATTTATTACATAGGTAATTTATTTTTAAAAGCAACATCAATGAATCCTTGGACATTCTATTTTTGGACAATATGTCTCTAATGGTTTCGGTACTTATGACACGGACATCCTTCGGAAGAGAAAGCAAGGGTAGTGAGAAATATAATTATTCTACACCGCTGTCACAAGCTGTAAGGGTGTATGTTGACATTATACTTAGATAATGTCGCGGAGAACCTAACGGGTAACCGGGGCTCCGGCAAATATCAAAATAATACAATTACAGAAAAAAAGTAATAAAAAACAAATTCAAGTTATAGGTATATCATTAGTGTGTATGGGTGTGTGCGCGCGTGCCAGTACTTATGTGAAAAACTGAGAAGTGCTAAGACAATACAATATAGTTAGAAGTTGTTCCGTTTGATATATGGTTTATGTGTACCTAATACTATAATTAATTTAAAAAAATTATGGGCACGATGTTTCATTCTGAATGTTTCTCTAAGCGCCATCTATAATTTTTATTATGAATTAAAATTTAAAGAACACTATAGCATGAATTAAATTAATAAAAGTTTGCGAAACAGGAAATTTTCATTAACATTTATTTATATCTGATTTACATAATTTATTCTATAATAGCTTATCAAAAAAAAAATAGATTTGGAAATAATGATTAATGACATCTATACAGTAAAATATGCACTAAAAGTAAAGTTATAGTACACACAGAACTCTACAGGTGTCGTTAGTTACTTATGTTAGAGCTGCCATCTAGTGTCGAGTAGCAGAACTGAACCGACAATGTTTACTTTTGTGTAATAATCTAGATGGCACTGTACCCTAATTGTTTTAAATTAGGTGTTGTAATGCTGTTAAAAATATTTTATGACAATTATTATTAATTACAATGATTAAAAAGACATACTGCAATAAACTAAGCATGGCGTAACTAATGTGAGATATTATAATTTGATCATAACTACAGCTTATATATACTTGTTTCATTTAATAAATAAAATAATGATGTTGTGCTTAGGTTGGTAATATAAAACGCGTAAGTAATAAATTTCATAATTAATATTCTGTTTTTGTTAGTGTTACATGACCATATTTATGACGTTTACCTGGATATTATCTATTTCAAAGTTTATTTTGCAACTTATCCAAAATTCATTAAAATACGTAAACGATTAGTATTAGTAAATAACGATTTTTTTTCAAATAATTAACCCTGACGGTTCTATTATAATATACCTAGCTACCTAATACATGTTTTTCAAAGAACATATTATCCCAATGGATCCGGAAAAGCCAAGTCACGTTATTTTATAAAATTAATGAATAGAACTTGTTGTAGCATTATTAGCAATAAATAAACAAATATGAAAAGATAAACTTTACTCAGTTCCTTGATGAAAATATTTAAAAATATTCAAAATGTAGATCCAGTGGCGTAATAATGGGTACCGTTTGGGGCTCGTAACAAATTCATTGGATGAGTCCAGTTCCCAATAGAAAATAGAGAAGTTCAGATGAAAACCTCTGAAAGGGGGGGGGGGGGGCTTTCCAGCTGAGGGTCCGAGGTCTTTTGCGGACTTGCCATGCAGTAGTTACGCCATGTATACATCCCTAATAATGAGCTGAGTGAGACCGATTTGACAGTACGTGAATTGGAAAAGGAGATGATAGATGCTCTACAGATGTGGTGGTGGTGGAAGATGCTTGGCGTATCGTGGACTGAGTTCCATACAAACGTAGGTATACATATTCCTAGAACTCAGCATCACAGCGAAACGACAAAGAAGAAGAGACCTATTTTAGGTAGATAAATATCTACAATGGATCAATAGACTACATATTGGTTTAATACCTATTAAGTAAATGTCCCCAAGGTTTGAGAAGAGGAATATTACCTCCGATCTAGTTAGACTTCATATGTCGGGCTTTCCCCAACTATGTAGGTTAGGGTCGATATGACATTGACTGGTTTTTTTATTTGATGATGTTTTTTTTATTAATTGATTGATAAATGATTATATTTTATACGTGACTGGACGTTAGCCATTATAGTGATGGCAAAATAGACCTCATTAATACCTCATATTTATCCTGTGGGTGTCAGCTAAAAGACTAGGTACACGTTTAACAGACACCGGGCAGTACATTACATAACATCACGCCTTTTATCCCCGAAGGGGTAGGCAGAGGTGAACATTATGCCACTGTACAATGTAACACCCACTTTTCACTATTTATGTTACGAGTCCCATGTAATAGGGGGTGAGTATTTTACACGAGTGAGTACACCGGGCAGTATTTTCTGATATATCAAAATTTTTTAAAGTCTATCTCCAACCTACCTACCTACTAAGTATGAAAATTAAGACAACCTAACAATTAAAATCATGAAGTTGATGCCTATAATCCAGAAGTAGTCTGTAACTCTTTATTGATATTTATAGTTTTCATAATTTCAATCAATCTATTCCTAATTCAAACACTATTCAATTCGAATTTGCCACTGGCAGGTAACAAGTTAAGCATTTACACACTAAAAGCTTCTCACCAAATATGGTCTTCAAAAATGCATGTCTCGTAAATTCTATAAAACATTTAAGCAAATACCTGAGTGATTAGGTACGAGTTATTAGCTTATAACTACATAATTTACTTGTACACGTTCGACTATTAGTAAAGGTTACGTCTAATATATTTAGCAGGAGGTTTTAATACTGAAAGTGCTTAGGACCTTTACATTTATGTAAAATTCTGTACGTACGTAGCATAGACATACAGAATTTTATTAGAATACACACTGATGTATTCTAATATAATTTCTTTTAATTTCTAATTTCTTCACTTTACTGTAAATAGTTATTTTAGAAATTAAATCACCTCAGACTAATTTATTGAATCTTATGCCTCGTAGTCGAGCTTGACAAGCCATTAGTCCCGAAATTATAGAACTGTGATTTCTGATAAATCTGCATAGAATGTATGTGAGACCGATATTGATCACTGGGTGCTGTAGAGGCAAGGCACCTGGCAAAATCATACCAAATTATCTGTCTATATATGTAATGATATTTAGTATATCTACATATGTAATGATCATATTTAGGTATGTAATTTTTTTTTAACACTTCTATAATGAGATCTGTCGCCAGTGGGACATTAAGCAGTAGGTTTGTCTATAAATATATGCATGTTCAAGGTAGCGACCTATGTCGCATCCTTTTTAATATTTGTGTGCACATCTTGAGGAATCTTTCGTTTCAGCCGTCTCTTTGATTCTTTCATGTAATTATTAAAAACCTCTTTGATTTCCGTGTTTGCGAATGAGAGATATTCTATTATTGTCCAAGCAACATTATGGTGAATTAAATGTATGTAGGTAAGTAGTAGATTTCAAATTTATTCTTATTGATATTGTAGGTTGGTTATTTAAGAAGAAATAGTTCTCAACTTAAATAAGTAGGTGATAAGATTCAAACTAGGTTCTTTAGAATTGATGAGATCGTGTACCGAGTCTTAATAATTTATGGAAACTTCTTGTTATTAATATTACACATATTGCGTAAGACATGTTGTACAGAATATTTAATTAATGTGTACCTGAGCCTAGACATGTCTGGTAAGTATGTCTGTCTATGTGTGTATAATATTATGTTTAGATTTCCTTTCAACAGATCGTGTGTAAAGGGGAAAGTCGATGAAGTAAACACAAGCTTACGTGATTGAATCCATTTATTTCATTTTATTATTTAAATCATGTACTTATATTTCACATTTAGTAACAAATTTTGCATTGGAAAATTATGCAATTCGTATATAAAACATAGGTAATATTCACATGGTATTCAGTTCATTAATTCACTAACATCTAACGGCACATTTCTATACATAGGGACTTATATATAACTTACTCAATACATAAATAAGCAACTTACTATATAAGGCTAAAAGTCTTTCTTGGCTAAAACGGCATGTTTTGCCTGCTAATAATACTCGAGATATAATAAGAGAAATATTAAGTCATTTTAGTTAATGCACAGCATACAAATCAGATTCCATTTCAGCAATTGAAATAAAGAGATTATTAGTATAAATTAAATAAATACTGTCGGTTAAATTCCAATAAATTAAGATCAACTTATTAATATAGTTTCGTCGTAACATGAAACAGAATAATATAACAGTTAAGTACAAAGGAACTGAACAGAAAGGCTTACAAGCTAAAACTTTCAATAAATTAATGATTAATATCTACAGAATACTAAATATCACAGAGAAAGTACCCAATACTTAATCAACAATTGTTTCGTCAAGCACTTCGATTACAACCAACGACTGGTGTTAGAGAGCGTGCGTTACGGACCTACCAATAAATAAGTACAACAGGGGACTACATCGATTGTAATTTAAATAAATAATTAGTCGAAGCGAAGATTATCTTAAGTCACAACAATCAACTAACTCGTTCATCTTTCAGTGTTCTTATATCTTTTATCTTTCTTCTCTTTTAGTTTGGCCTCGTAGTCGGCACATTTGCTGTTATTCCTGATAACTTTCTTGCCTCGGGGACACCTGAATTCTGAGTACCAGTTGTTGAGAAGGTTGCCGTACGCTCTGAACGCTATGTAGTCGTTCTTCAAACACTGGGGCGCATCAACCTTCTTTTCTAAAACTTGTAAGTTCTTGTTTTTGCTAACTTGAGGCACTGGTATATTTACAGACACCATATTCTCCCTTACTTCGGCTATAGTACTGTATAATCTATGAAGAGTCTTCCCTATCAATTCGTGGCGAGTTTTGTTGTACGAGCAGAAAGGATCGTCGGCGAATTCAACTTCTACTTTGATGAGCAGTGTGAAGATCTCTTGGTACTCTACAAGCGACTTGTAAAGTTTTGGCATCAGGTACGCGAACTGTAACAAAAAGAAACAAGTATTTAGTACATTGATCGAGAAGGAACTGTAGCATTGTTAATGACGAATGCTAATGGCTCAGCTAATTGGAATTTACAAATGATAGTAATGAATGAAATCCCTGATACAACAGTCATTGATAATACGCTCATTGTTTGTTACGATTATACCCAAACGTAATTGTGTTTACGTCACAATATCGACGTAATGAACGTTGGACATTTTTTATCGGAAAGTCGTGGGTTTATCTATTCTGATGCAAAACTATTATAAAAGCATTCAGTTTTTTATCTTAATAGATTTGTAAGTGGCAGTCAGTATTGACCCTTTAGGTATTACACGGCTGTTAACGTTTTCCCAAGAGTTTTAATGATCATGTAATGCAAATGTAAAGGAAATTAAATACGCAAGTAAATTTATAGAAACATTAAGACTTTTACAGTTGTATAACTGTCTATTAAAAGGGTCAGAGTGCGAAGAAGCTTATGTGTGAATTAAGCGCGTCACATCGAGGATAGTTTACGTCGCAGCAAATTCGTGTCGAGGCTACAGCGCCGTGGGCATTTGTGATCGGTATGACTATTCAAATGACGCTATTAACACTACAATCATACTATATGTGTTTGTTTCAATAGCGTATTGATGAAATTTTACTTAACAATTCGTTTTAATGACACTTTCTCGACCATTATCTATTATACGCGGCACGACTGTGTCCTCATATTTATAACTTGGTGCCTGGAACGCGTTGCCATTTTCTTTATTACGAAACAATGCAAAAATGTAAAGTACTGAGATTTGAAATTCAAAGTCCGCTGTTATCCTTAGGAATAATATTCAATTATTAACCGCACACTTTTAATGGACATTTTGTTTTTAAATGGATCGATTATTTTAAAAGGATGAGGACGTGAACTTCAATGTAATTTTATTATATCCTAAACTTAACGGTGGGTATAGCCAAATTAGATTTTTACGATCTCGTAAAATATTGACAATATTATTATAAGATTGTGGTTGCAAACAATGGCGTTCTTAAGCGTTGCATTAAACGTTTATTTTGAGATGCAATAAATCAAGTAATTGTATGTGAGTTGCTTTAAATAATTACGTAAAGAATTGTAATAGACTAGGTAGATGTAGTTGAATGACATAATCGAGTGTTGCTACATGGTTGTCATAGTTTATTGGCAAAGGTTGGAATTCTAGATTATTATAATAATATTGACATTATTCGTATCGTTGATTTGTACAAATATTCAACTGTCGTATAATAAATTTGATCGTAACCACTTTAAATGTTTTGTATTAATTAGCTACTAAGTTTGTTGATTTGTTTGGTTTTGCTTAAAGAAGCTTTCGTCAAGTAGTTCAGTGTCACATACCATTGAGTGTGGGCGTAGCTGAGACACGCAGTTATCAATGACCAGCCTTTATCAAGCGCATGCATCAATATTTTCTACTCCATTTATATCTTAAGTCATTATATCATGTGCTATAACCGTATTATTATAGTCTTTACTTTTAACATTTGTTTTATTAAAACTATTGTTTATTTCATCTTTTATGTTTCTTGCATCTGTATTAGAATTAATATCAACTTTTACTTTGTCTTTGTTTTTATTTCCATCTCTTTTTATTATTCTATCACTGAAACACATCACGTTTCTTTATAGACAATGATGCGTTTACAACGACCTGTATATAAGTACCTGACCAGCCGGTTAACCTCGATACTTGTAATGGATCGTTTATTATTGTCCTTTAAAAATGCGACATATTTATATTTCTCTATTAATGTCTATAGTTGCTTTTATTTTCTTGTGTTTTTAATATAATCTATTAAGTAAAGTAAGATGATATAAATATAATTAATATATTCTATTAAGAATAAGTTTTGAAATAATATAGACTGTGTTTTTATGCATGTCAGTTTTTAATTGTATTTAATCATCTACCACTATTCATTCAGTCATTCAGCACATGATGTCACCACGCGTACATATTTTGTAACAAAATATTTGTGGAATGTAATGTCCGTCTAATTCCTTGATACATTATATTAATTCCATTTATTTGTCCTGAACATAACGTAAAATTAATATGACTAACATTAGCGTGCGATTCTTCCTGCTTCCACTTAGCGGCTAATGAATGAACTCATCTCATCACTCATTGTTCCAGGAACATGAACCTGAGACGTTCGGCTTTTGTTTGTGTCGATTCGTATGTCACCAGCTTCCTCTACTAAAGTACCCACTGAATGAATGAGTGATTCACTTCAGCAGCTGTCTAGCCAATATTTTAACATATTGTTTTAATTTGGATAGTCTGTAGGTAATTTTGTGTCTGGCTCTCGAATGGAGGCAGGAAATACCGAATTGAAATTCTATTATTATTGCGCTCGTCAACACCATATAGAGGCAACCTTATGAAACTTAAAGATACCAGTCCTTGTATACAGACTCTATTTAATTCCCCGAGTATTTAGAAGGCAATAAACAATCGATTCTAAAATTAATCGTTAATATTTTACGGTTCATAAAAGCATTGAGTACATGTCGTTGCGTTTTCCCAACTATTGTGAAGGCGCGACGCCGAAGAAATTGTCGGAGCGAACGATAATAAAAGCGTCGGGCTGTGTGAGCAAATATGGTCGTGTATTAAAAGCCTGAAAACCCGACAATAAGCCGTACATTTGCCTTAAAGAGGCGAGCTTAACCTCCGAGACGTGTCGCAGACAAACGCGCCACTCCGGAATCGTAAGTTCACATTCGTCTCACTTGGACAAATAATGTGTTTTTAACATTTCGTGTTGTTTTGTTAAATCGTAAATACTGTACAAACACTAGCACCGAGTGACCGCTAAAGCCCCGGCCTCTTGTCACTGTGAAAGCGCACCGTGTTCCAACTTGTGGAATTTCTGCCCTTTATTCAAACACTGAAAATACCGGCCGCGCCGTGACTCGCAGAATTGTGTGAAAACAAATCCACTACAAATTAAAAGTATCCTTCGGAATTATCCACAGAGCTCTTCACTCAAAAGCTTTAACGTGGAAACTTGGAGGGCCCGATAAATTAAACCAACATGAATATTGTGTGTCCACATTAGTCTTTCTTCGGGCCCTCTATTTTAACGTCTCATTTGAGCAGTATTTAATTTTTAAATTGTTCGTATGTCAACTAAAGCCGGAGCGTAGAGATCACTTGAATTCTAACGCTTTCCTTTGCCCAATGTCAAATATTTAAATTTCTTAAGTGGCCGTACATTGACTGGCTGGCGAGACATAGGTAAGAAATATTTAATATTCATCGGTTGGTGCACTGGTCGTCTGCGGGCCGCTATGTTAGGAAATTATTTGGTCTCCGACTCGCAGACGCGGCCGGCGTCGAGTGTGTAAGGACATGTGACGCTTCGAATGCACACACACTTATTGTCTCGCGTCGCATTAACTTTTGTGTACTAATTAGTGGGTGACCAATATGAATACATAACAGAAAGTCTCGAACTCCAGATGTGTGTTCGGTAAATAATAAAGAGAGGCTTATAGAAGGCTCGTTAAATATTGCTTGTGTGTTTATATTTTTACGAACCGAAACCGGTACGGGCAGCCGATGAACTGAATACAATTTTTATCATAATTATAAGGTGTTCTGCTGAGATACCTACGTGTAGGATGCGTGTTGAGCCATGGTTTTAGGATCGCGTGTGCGGAGCGAAATCATGCGGTGTCAATCTATGCAAATTTCCTTGAAACATTTAACTGGCTCCTTAGTTTGCTCTGCTCCCACAAGCGCTAACCATAAGCCTCTGATTTATATATTGCCAGTATTAAATGAACCACTAGCTGCAGATGAATGTGTTATTTAAGAATACGAGTAAACCGATGATTGGGGGTCAAGTTTTCTTGGTAATGAATTGTGGGCGGCGTCATCTTTTTTCGAAGCCATCATCTAGATTAGAGGGTGATATGTAATTTTATTTGGTGTGGGTTTCGTGATGTTTTCATTTATTGCTAATTAATTCCAATCATTTAATTGTTTGTTTTTAGAGAAACATATATCATATTTATGAATAAACACTTCTAATAATAATTTAAGAAATTATGATGTTATTTAAATGATTTCCTGCTCAGTGATGAAGTTTATAAAGGACTAAAAGATACTGCGATTTTCAAACGAGTGCGGCTTTTGAAAATTAAGGGCTTGCACATCTAGTTATTGCCCTTAAGTACAATGTGAAGTAAATAAACGCGGTACAAAGGCCGACCACATGTAATTTGGATCGTCGGAACCTCATTTAAGTTGCAACGGTGAAGCCTCGAGCACGGCTAATGTACCCGGGGATCCTTTGTCTCAAATAAAGCAAAAATAAATTAAAAATAATGTAAAAACATTGAACGGGCAAAAAGAGTGATGGGCCGGACCACCACACCCTCGACGCGAGTGATCGCCCGTAATAATTACACTGTCAGTTGCACAAAAATTACATCAAATGTAATGTATTGCGATTAATTGTAACAGTTTGCATCATATTTACCGAAAACGACAAGATTTTTAATTTAGACTGCTATTCAGATCCGTACTAACGTGCTAAAACTTGTCGATAATTCAATGAGGTCATTTGTTAAATGGAAGCAGAAACAATCTTATCTATACTATTTGATATTTCTTGCATCATAGATGTCTATACATACATTGAATTGTGTGATTATTATGATACTTTAAACCTATTAATATAATGATAGACTGCTTTCGAACTTGTGTTACTGTCAAGGCAAAAACTTAAGGTATATAATTAATCAGTGCAAAAAGATACTCACTTTGCGTTCAGACATGGTCGCGCCACGTTTTTTGTAGTTGTAGAAGTGAATGTCGACGAAGTTGATGGTGGGCAGCCAGTCAGGCATGCCGTCCCTGTACTCCCGCGTCTCGTTGAGGACTTTTCGCTCCTCGATGAAGAACCTCCTCGTGTTCGTCAACTTTTTTGTAATTTTTCTCGTTGCGGTCTTGAAGCGATCTGATTGGACGTTTTTCTGTCTGACGTTTTCTGTGTCTTTGGCTTGAGGCAGGACGGTTTGCTTTCTGTGCGGCCGTCTCCTGTGTTCCACCACGCGGCTCTCTAGCTTCATCCTCAAGTCTTTGGTTGGTGCTAACGCCTCATGCTGTCGCCTCTCATGCCTAATTTTGTGTTCTAACGTCCGCGCTTCGGATGGCATCACAATCATTGCTATAACTACTAGTACTGTTGTAGCTACCAAAAGCTTTTTGGGAAAACCTGCAACAAAAAATGCATTGTTACTATCATAATGCAATAACTTGTGTTATCTTTATTGCAATGATATCGTTATTATCTTCACAATTGTTATGAAAATAATCGATAAAGGGACATAACATATTTTCAATCAGACACTGTTTGTGACTTGCTCACGTTTCGAGTCAGTTCGGATTTTGTAAGAAGATTCCTTGAATGTGTTGCATAATTTGGGAAAAAAATCATGCACGTTGAGGAACGAATTCTGTGGGATTGTTGACTTCAGAGTGGTATCCGTGGGGTCACATAAAAAATAATAAGGTGCGTGATTATGGTAACGTTGCTACATACACGTCTGTACGATTTTCATCTCCGAGCACTTTCACACCGACCATTAGCCCGGGGTGGGATGCGTGTGGCGGACGTGATTTTTGTAATCAATTTCGGCTTGTGGGAAATTGTCTGATTTTGTACCAGTTATATACGTTATGACTTATCCAAATGATAATAATTATATTGATAAATAAGGTTGAATTTTATCGATATACCGTCTCAATTGACAAGTCAATACAAGATGAAATGATTCACTAATGAATATATATCTACTATTTGCAAGATTATGTGTGACATGTAATTATTTTGACGTCATGCGCATGAGCAGAAAGTGTCACGCCCATTGTTAATGTTATTACACAAATATACATATATTTCGCCTTGTTCGATTTAACGTTTGACAGTTATTGAAGGTTTTGATGTTTCGCGCCGACGCCATAAAATATATTTTATGTCCCAAGCAATTCTGTAGAGGCGATGTTTTCAAACTTTTAAAAGGAAGCACCACTGGCTTTGAAAGCGCAGCTTTGTTCAGTTGGAGTGCTAAAACATAGAAAGTACTTGTTGCAGTTTTTATTAGTTGCGTTGTGTGTCCTCAAAGAAAATATACCGACGTTAAGTAGGCAGAATAAGCGCGATCATACTATTTTGAAAAATTAAACATTTAATTAGTTACCGCTGCCCGTTTGTCTGTCGTGATGTTTTTCACGTGTGCTCAGAAACCTGTGACCACAACAAGATTGATGGTGCGGTCACTGATAGTTATTATATTTAGTCCCGTGCGGTTTTTCAGAACAGCAAATCCAACACGTTACGTCTATTATCACATCGACTGAATGTTACAGTGAGTTTACACTTTAGTATTACGTCACATGAGGATAAACCGAGGTTTATGGGCAGTGAATCATTAGGTCAATTCGTGTCGTTGACAATATAATGTATGTTAAGTAAATACAGCGTAACGTGTCCATATATGATAAAAAAGTCGAGTAAAAACTTGACACTCTGTGTTGTGACGGAGCCGCTGTGTTACAATTATTTTAGTCTGTGACCATTGTGAGTGGTCAGTAGCGATGTCTACATTGACGAGATCATCAAACAATGCTAACGTACATAATTGTTACCGCGAAAACCGGGGACTGACTGTGACTTTTCCACCGCGGGTTTTCCCAACCGTTGCGTTGGTGATCTAGACAATCATTTATATCCGAATAACCACGTGTAAATATGTAAATAATACATAACCACACCATTTTTAAACACGCTTTATAATTTTTAAACCGACGTCTACAAAAAGGAGATGGATTTTTAGTAAAAAGTTTTTGATTTTTAATGACGGCGGGCGGCGATTGATTTATTATATTCACAACAAAACAAAGTCCTTCGGTTACCTAACATAATATTAGTTCATAGCAATTGTGTTCTCTCACGATTTTCAAATTGGAATCTTGTATGAGGGTTATTACTGTTTACAAAATTTCGTGTCATTAAGTTAGTTGTAACACGATACAACTTTGGATAAATTAAACAATTATTGATGTTATAACAAAGTGGGCTGTGCGATCAAATGTTGGGGACACAGAAAGCAAAGCTTGTCTGTATCGGATGACATCGCGAGCGTGTTTCAGCGAAGAAACCCTTTGATCGATTGCCGACGGCCGAATGTTGAACATTCTCACACGATCCGCGCACCGCATTCGATTCTTGATACATCGTGCTTCCAAAAATGATCAGCGAATTAGCTTCGACAACGATTTTTATACCGCATTTACTCATGTCTCATTGCACCTTATGTGAATCAAGATTTGAGTGCAAACTTATGTTTCTCTCTAAGGAAGTTACGTAGGCTAAATTACTACTAATATAATTGTAGTTTATTTATTTTTGCAATACGTATAATAAATACAATTCCGCATTATTATAATCGATGAAATTAATTGAAGTTTTCAATTACAGATATTACGATATAAAGGAAATGAAATCGTTATTGCCCATAATTTGGTCTGCATATTTGAATAATCTCCTTTTAATGTTTACTTTTTTAATGTCGTAAATAAAATAAATAATTAAGAGTCGAGAAGAATCTTAACTCAATAAATCTGTGTAGACGGTAATACGATAGCTTTATTAGTTTGCGTTCATTTAAGCTTACCCACAAAATGAATGTCAATTGTTTACATTCTACGCGCGAATGAACCGCACACTTGAGTTCGTCAAACAAGTAATTAAGACGAAGTAGGTGTTAAAGCTTTGAATTAAAATTAGAATATAAACACACACCAGTTAAAAAGACATCCATGAACAACGCATTGATGTAGCTCCTTTGGGCAAGTCCATGTTCATGCGAACAAAATATTCCCGATAAACGAAATGTCGGAAAATGACATAAGAACTTTCCAACCGAACTAATTGTCACTGGTCGCAGGAACGAAACACTCGCGAACTGTCAACACTAAAAAAAACACAATGTTCGAATTTGGAAGTCACTAGTACTGTATGAATATTAGCACTGGATTTATACAGTGTTGTGTTGTCGAGCGTGTGTCACCGGAGTGGTGCGAGCAGCGAGTGTGCGAGACCGGCGCGCGAGCAGCCTCCGCTCGTTGAATGGGCACCGAAATGCGGCACCGTACGTCAAATAGCCGGTCAAACACTATGCGAAATCCCTTACCCGCCCGCCGGAAAGTGAACTTCGACCCTCGCGGAGACTTCCTTGCACCTACAACTTTTCCAACTTCACCAATATTTTCCAGTTTCAAAAATTGTTACCCATTTAAATTACAACTTTCATCATTATTAACATTTGCTATTGTTCATGAATCGATGGCATCATACAATTACATGAAGTTGCGAAATTAGGAATTCCTACTATCTATTTCATTATCGGACAAACGACTCGAGATTTTAGTCTTGTTATCGATCTTGATTTAATGAGGTGGTTAGTCATGATATTCATGCACTTTAGACAGCAAGGCTACACTAGAAAATAAAACTATTTTCGAAATAATAAGTAGAAAAATGATAATAATATTGTTATAGAACATAAATTAGGTAAATTACGATAAAAAAATAATCTAAAGTATAGGCGCGTCTCCATGGACGTCTGTTTCCACATCTTGTGCAAGTGAACATTTATTCGGTTAGACCTCGCTGGTGAATCATCGATGAGTCTAACCTAAAGTAAGTTTTTATCGGGCATTAGTCGCGCCGCGCCGACACAATACTAAACCCTTAGCAATCTAATTAATTATATCAAATACACGCGACTATTAGGCACTCGAAATTGTTATGGCCATTGTTTTTATTATTATTGCGTAGGTGTCATAAAATAATCAAAGTCAATGATTACTTTACTGGTACTTCCCGATACCACATGAGACATTGTTAGCAACTATCCTATTAAACTGATGGCTAATAGCTACAATAACGAGTTTATGTAAATGAGCGCCTAGATTTAGAGGTTGTTTGATTTATAAACAACTTTCGTTTTCTTTTTCACTTGTCAATGACTGGTCATCATGAGAAATAAGTGAAAGAGTCCAAGGACTACAAAAGAAAGTAAACTGTGAGTAAAAAGTGTGCCAAGTCTGGGAAAGAAGCTGACATAGATGGTGAACCTACGTGCGACGTCGGTCAAACAAATCCTTCGGTGCAGATAAGAAATCGTCTTCACATCTTGTTGATGTACTGGTCGTTCTAAAATGTGCTCGTGGGCGATTTTCGTGGCATGTAGCCTGCGGTTTAGAGATATGAGCGAGCGTCTCAATGTTTACATTGACACGTTTTTTGTTTCGTGGTTAACAAAACACTATCACTAAGCAGAGGTACGATGGTACCTCTGCTTAGTGATAGTGTCAATACCTGATCATTTGTGATTTTTTCGTTATTTTTAGATCAATGTTTATTTTAAATTTTGTTCAATAGTACGAATGTTATAATAACTGGAAAGTTACAAATAATTATAAATGCAATAAATAAAACATGATTACATAAGTTTCAGAGCTCGGTGACGTGATTTATGTACCGGCTACATCACTATCACTAGCGCGGAGGCCGACTGACCTAGTTAGCGCTTACAATTTTTCTCCCATCAATACAAAGGAGATTCCCATCGCGATCGTTTCCGATTACTGACATAATAACATGACTTACATTTATTACACGATTAGCGTTTTTATGTAAAGATACTCTATAATGGAAATAGGCTTTTCCGGCGCTTGTCTCATGAATGACTCACGGATTTCCCGAATTTTTCGCTACAGTAAATTCGTTCGCGATACCGGCGGCCTCCTGAAAGCCCACAAGACCGTGTCGCATGAGCTCACCATTACTCACTCCCCATAGAAAGTCGTTAGATCCGTGTAATATTAAACGATTCGTCATGTCACAAATATTGAATTTTAAGTGCTACACAGTGATCTATACTTACAAATAAAATTTGCTTTTCCGTAATTCGTTTTTTTTACATTTCCATTATTTACGCGATACCTGACCATTAAACAATTGATGTAAAATTAACAGAAAAATTGTCCGTCTGTTTGTAAGACATAAAATAGAAAATTGCTGTAGATGTTGTCAGAAAGTTTTCACGATTTATGAGTGTTGAGCGCGGAGTGGTGTGACGTTTTGTTTCGTAGCGGGAGCCATAAAATATGTTTGTAAATATGAGCGTTATGTAGATGTATTTCGTAAAATATAATATAACGGGCAGAGTAGCGTGTGCTCGCTAGTAGTGAATATATTTAACTTCTAATACTACTACGTTGATACGTTGCAGGTTGTTTTAAGCAAATATTATCCATCCATCGTTCAGCCGCGGCGTCCGTTACGTCTCTTATGATGATTTGTTTCTCTTTTAAAAAAGTGTGGCTTTAAAATTACTGATAAAAGGTTTGCTATTGCTGCATAAATAGGTTTTTTGTTGAAATCTAAAGTGCTCTGCCATGATACTGACCTGAATAGAGGCGGATGCAAATTATGATAGTTAATTATTGTTCAAGATCAAGTTCGGTGGTGAGATAAAGGCTGGGTTAATATTATTTATAGCGGTGTTCGTGATGTCTAGCAGACTTTGTTGCTGTGTGTACGTTATTACATCGGATGCATACGCGTAGTAGATAATCTACCGTAAAATTCCTTTACCAACATAGTTTCAGCAGCTAATTTAAGTTTACCGTAAACTTAAAGACTAGCTTCCGCGACAGAGTCCGCCTGCGGCCGCCTAGACATTGCCAATACGCGAAATGGCATTGTTTGCGAGCCGCAATATAAATCACACGTTGTGCGTACAATTCGAAAGCTTTTACTTATTGTGCACGTACCCTTAACCCCTTTCATGACACAGACTAAAATAAATACTCAATAGGCGACTCAGGAATGTTCGGTATGCGAGTGACGCGGTCCTAAATGTCTCATACTGTGTCTTCAAAACTGGATAACGCCATTCAGTATGTAAGAAAAGCGTTGATAAAATGCAATGTGGTCCTAGACAGGTTTCAATTTGTGTGTAATTCACAGTAAATACTATTGAGTGTTGTGGCTAAACGGGAATCGAATAAACGGGAGATTTAGTATCAATAGTCGTTTTATCGACATTTACATAATTGAACGACAGCCAGGTGTCAGCTTTAGCTTATCGATGAGTGTAAGTGATAATAACAATAGAAGCGCTTTTACCTTGAGAACTAATAATATAAATAAACTATTTTAAATTATGCAGTTGTTTTTGATTCGATGGCTTCTTTTCGCTAATTATTATCGAATGACTAATAGTCGATTGAGGTAACCGATTTATTTATCTATGAAGTCAAAATTATGTAACCCGATTATTTAGTGTTATTGAGATCGTCTAGCATAAAAACTTTAATAATAGTGATTTTATCTAGAAAACATTTCCGACCTCATTTTGTTTTTGTTTATTTTTCAAATACTGGTTACTACGTTCGATGTTTAAATAAGATTTGAATGTCGAATAGTCAATTGTTACTTATCTACACTACTAGTGTTATAGAAGAAGGTGTCACAATAAATAAAGTCCTCGGAAGTATATCAAATAATGGAAAAGATAAATATATCACTTCCTTCACTAGTAATATTAGGTCACTGATATAATTAAGTTCTTACAAAATGGAGTCGTAAGTATGCAGTTTGAATATTTTATCACCTGTTGATGACTCTCTACGATTAGATCATCATTCAAGTCATCCTACATAGGGGTAAGTCATCAAGACTTTCTATTGCTAAAAGTCACTACAGCATAAATTAATCGGTTATCGAGTACGCGCTATGACATTTGTTAATAGCCTTTATCGATCTATAAATTATCAATATTTCATTTCGATAAGAAAACATAATAAAACAAAACAGATACTTACTATATCTATAAGTATATCCTTGTCTCCTTGAGGAACATCCGTTGCAGCAACAAGTGCACGTATCGATCATTTTTATATCAATCGATTTATCACAGATCATAATAAAAATAAAATCTTTGGCATAAACTGTCACAACAACTGTCACTTATGAAAAAAAAGTTCACTGTCACTTCACAATTCAAATTTGGAACAGGTGTAATACACGTGCGTATTCTGTTTATTGAATTTAATTTATGTGATTAACGGGCGTCGCGTTAGAGTCGAGTTCAGGACGATCTCGCGAGCGGATACGTTCAGTTCGCCGCGTTACGTGTAATGTGTGTCCTGAACGGATTTCCACGGCTTTTATGTGGCCGGTCGGCGCTCCCGTGATAAAGGGTGCAAAAAACCGATTGTTTAATTTAGAGGGCCCGGCATGCGCCATTACGTCACGGATACGACGTCGATCGCGATTGGGACGTAAACTCACACATGCTCTTACGCAATAGCTTGTTCAAATAAATACATGTGGCAACAACCGGATCCTGAAGGTATGTGAAAATGCGTTCCTGGTCGCTGTTTACGTGATTCTTGTCGCATTTGACGGTCTGGGTCTAGGTATCTTGTGATAAAATTTTATTAAAAATAATTGTATTTTAATTTGGCCATTAAACGTGTTTCTGTGTCAATTTTGATAAGAATGCAGTTACGATAAGAATTATTTCAGATTACACGGATATAGGGACTTATTGTTTAATTGTATGCTATTGCAATTAAGGCAATTAAAGAGTTAATAAAGATTTATTTATACATAGTTTAATTTATAAATGATTTCTAAAATGTATTTTATCATAAAATAAAATAATTATTATTTTTATCAATGTTATTCAAATTACATTTTTAAAGTAAAGATCAAGTAAGGTTCAATAAAATATTCTCATGTAGTTAGTAGGTACTTATTATAATTTAAATATAATAATTATAGATATTCATTGAATAAGAAAAAATACAAAAGAAAATATTTTTGAAGGCTTGTTAAAACACGATCAAACAATTTAATTCATTAATGAGTTATGATCGAATTTTAAGTCACAATAATTTCAGTACATTTCAAAACTTAAGTTACATTTCAAGACATTAAATACATAACTTAAACATAACTTAGGCTAGGGTGCGTGCTTCACACAGACACACATGGCGATGCAGCATTTAACTGCATTGCTCTAGCGAAGTCCTTCTTAGGAGTTTATTTTTAAAATTCCATTTCGGCCATATTAGAAATGCGTTTAAATTTCAGCGGGGGTGTTGCTCCACCATCCCGCCTCCGGCTGAGTCCGCCTCTCGGCCTCATTCCCGAAATAGTCCCATTCGATTGGTCGCTCAGAATAATCTCTTCACCTATTACATGCACTCGCTTAAACTTACACTCGATAATGCCAGTACTTGCAAGTCACGTGGTCAGGTGAGTTCTGTTTTTTGTCCCAGAATAATACCGTAATGAGGTAGTCCATTTAGAGCACCTGTGCGAATAGCACCTGAACGAATAGCACCCAGCCTAGTCCACGAAGGGCACCTATCAAAATAATTGGCAGGTGCTCTTCGTGGATGCAAATTTGTTTGTATGTATTTATCCACGAAGGGCACCTACGATTCAGAACCGTAGTGCTGTGATATATACATCCGTATTTGGTAAGCAGGACGTTAAATAAAAAATATCGAAAATAATACATATGCATTAATAATTTATATTACACAACCAGTACCTACCCTAGAGCGCTGACGCTAATTTCGAAATCCACCATGGGTCTCCCTTTTCTTATGCTCAGGACCATATACCAAGCAACCTACCTGGGATGCGTGTGCTACGGGGCACCTGTCTGAAAATACTATTTTTATTGAGGCCTAACTCTTTACCTCTCTTTAGTAGCGCCTTTTTGAAATGGAAGTAACACCCTTTTACTGCGACTTTGGGAAATACAGATAGAATTCCTCTAACTGCAGCTTCTTCAAAGTCACTTGTAAAAAATCTATAGACATGTCTGGTATCGTGGAAAATGTCTACGGCATCGACAGTGGAGGGGTTATAAAAGTAGACATTATTCACCATATTGATTGCCTCTCTTGTATTAATACTCTTAATTAAACCTCTTTTCTTCAATATCTTCAGTATTTTTGTAAAACGAATCTGTCAAGGTTAGAAAATCAACAAATACTAATTATGTGACATTGTCACATAATGTATGGTAAGTTTTTTTGATTTAATGTTTATTAAACTATAACAATGGAGCCTATTCCCGGTCTTAGTTATCAAAATACAGCTATTAGCTACATTTCCAGTAGAAAAGGAGCCCCTATACTAATTTATGAAAATAGACAATATAGAAAGTTTAAGAAATACAAAAGTTCTGGTAATTTGTTGTGGCGGTGCTTGACAAAATCTTGCAGAGGGTTCCTGACGATCAATGCTAATGAAGATATTATAAAAATAACAGAGCATATGTGTGAGCCTATGAACAGTGCCCAGGCTGAAGTAACCAAAGCGGTGGACGAACTAAAAAAAGAAGCTGCAGCCACTGATGGTCCTATCCCATCGTTATATAAAAATAAAATTAATAAATTACTCGATCAAGGGCTCAACTTGGTAGCTCCTTGCCCAGATTACAAGACTATAAAATCTAGTCTATATAACCAACGAAATAGGACTTGTGGAGTTCGCCGCCTGTGTGCGAAAACCGCGGGTGATGTACAAGTTAGTACTTTTAATTTTTAATCTAGAAGTCATTTCACCGACCATTATAATTATGACAATTTCAGATATATATATAGTACCTAGTATACTAGCGGACCCAACAGACGTTGTCCTGCATATCCACTTGAATGTATAAACAAAAATTCATTCAAATTAGTTCAGCTGTTTAGGATAAATAACCTAAACATCGACTGCAGCGCCATCTGCCGGGCTGATTTGTGAATCTAAACCATTCCCAGATCCCCTTGAATACACAAAAAATTTCATCAAAATCGGTTCAGTCGTATGAGAGAAGTTCAGTGACATACACACTCACAGAAGATTTATATGTATAAAGATATCTTTTTGAGATTCATCATCAACAGCCTATAAATGCCCACTGCTGAGCAAAGCCTCTTCTCACACGGAGAAGGTTAGAGCATTAATCACCACGCTTGCTCAATGCGGGTTGGCGATTTCATACTTATAATTAGAAATTATAAGCCCAGGTTTCCTCACGATGTTTTTCCTTCACCGTTTGTCAGTGGTGTCTGAATAATCTTAGAAAGTACATATAACTCGGAAAGTCACATTGGTACTTGGCGTTGGTAGGTTTCGAACCCACACCCTCATGCATGAGAAGCAGGCGTCTTAAACCTCTGAGCCACCACGACAGTTTTTGAGATTGAAAGTGATGAAATGATTTTTTGAACTTTGAATCTGTCGAGTCAACCTACGCAAACCTACGCATCTGTCCAAGAGTTTGTTTATATTTGAATCATTTTTCAAATTATATATTTATTTCAAGGTACCCAAACAATATCTGGACTTCCTGTTGGCTGACTTCTGCGATGGTAAAAATAGAATACTTCTATTTGCCACGGCAAGAAGCAAAGAAGAACTTGCCATAACACGCCATCTCTATTGTGATGGGACTTTTAGATCTGCACCAAAACCTTTCCTTCAGATTTACAGCATTCATGGTGATGTCGGGGGTATCGTTAAGCCGTTAGCATATGCTATGCTTCTGAACAAAAAAATGTCTACATACAAATTACTATTTCAATTATTGAAATCCACGATACCAGACATGTCTATAGATTTTTTTACATGTGACTTTGAAGAAGCTGCAGTTAGAGGAATTCTATCTGTATTTCCCAAAGTCGCAGTAAAAGGGTGTTACTTCCATTTCAAAAAGGCGCTACTAAAGAGAGGTAAAGAGCTAGGCCTCAATAAAAATTGTATTTTCAGAAAGCACGTTGCTCTATGCACTGTTCTTCCTTATTTGCCACCGAATGACTTAGACGATGCTTGGCTATATATAATGGGTGAGAGTCCCCAAGATGACAAAGTGACAGCATTCAATGATTATATGGTTAGCCAGTGGATTGACCACAAATTGTGGTCAAACAAATGGTGCTGTTACGGTCAAATTCACAAAACCAATAATTATGCTGAGACGCATTATTCAGCTATAAATAAAGCTATAAACAAAAATAATAAGAACATTTGCAGTGTTTTAAGGGTCTTAAAAGACAATAGCAAAAATTATGCTGAAGTACGGAAAAAAATTGACACATCACGATCTCAAAAAATTGCCAAAATAAAAAATAAATTAATAAATAGTATAATAGAAGAATACGAAAATGGCATTATTTCTCTAGGGCACTGTATCGAAAAGTTGAGATTTTAAGATTTATTTTTATTATGATAGGTACTGATTTATGAGACAAGCCCTCTACAACCTCCTTAAACCGCTGCAACTCCTGTAAGCCAGGTTCTACAGTAGATACAACCATGAAAACACCGGCACACTGAAGTCCGGCGCGTCCCAGGGACATGAATAACTGTCTTGGTTCCCGCAACAAAATAATTCAAAATATATTAATTATAAGAGCACCACGGAAGGACGGAAACTAAGTGGGTCCTATGTGTGAGCTGTTATACTTGCTTCCAATAATAGGTGTGGCAAGAGCGCCTAAACGCATGGAAATTTGTTCTAGATTCCACGAGATCCGTATAATAAGCTACACCTGACGAAACAAATAAATTATTTTACCTTCATATTGCCAGAGATCACACTCCCAGAGTATGTAATGGAAGGACTGCTCATTTTGCAACTCCACTGTCAAACATTGGCATCATGTTGAATCACCAAGTTAAAATAAGAACAACTTGCTTTTAAAGTTGCTGTGGCCAGGAAGAATTTGGCCAACACAGTGATGCACCTCCACCCGCTCATGCACGGATGGGAAGAACTGATATAGGTGGCGGCCCGTGATAGAAGATTCCCACTCTACACTGACATTCAGTTGTAAATCGAGGCTAAAAGCTGGCCTAGGAGTAGTTTTATCTATTACCTATCTATCACCTATTATGGCCGTTAGAAAAGA